GCCTGCCGGAGGGCACGATGCCGTTGATGGCCTCAAGCTACTCGGCGCGACGGCAGCGGAAGTACGGCTCCTAGAGCGGGCTGTTGGGGACGTAGCGCGGCCCCTCCCTCGCCGCCCGCGGCAGAAAGGCGCGGATACGCGCGATCTCCGCACGACGCGCCGCCCCGGTGGACGGTGGTGGCACCGGGACCCCGCCGGCGCTGATTCTCCACGCCCCGGGCACCCACATGTCCGGCGGGACCGGGTACTCGGCCTCGAAGAGGAGCCGGGCTTCGTCCTCGTGAAGGTGGCGGCGGCCGAAGCCGTTCGCCGCCACGCTGTCGCCTGGGAATCGTTCGGCTATTTTTTTGAACTGGGACGACGAGGGGAGAGGGAGGAAGGGGAGAGAGGGCGCGTCGGAGGTGGAGACTCTATGCGTGCCACCGGCGCGCTGGGGTCGGCTTATATAAGCGGAGGCGGCGCGAGCACGCGTGGCCGCCTCGTCTACGCGTGGCATGCACGAGGACGTGCGTCGTCACGCCTTCACTGCGTCGCCCGTGAGGCATCAATGGCAAGGAGGGCCCGCGGCATTGATTCGCCGCGGGAAACGAGGCGATGAGGACGACGAAGCTACGAGAAGCGAGATGAGTCGATGGCAAGGAGGGCCCGCGGTTCTTTCGCGTCAAAAACCATTTGCCCGGCGCCCCCGAATGCCCCAGCGCGTCGGGTTCGGGTTGGGTCCACCGGCGCCAATTTCGATCTGAGCCGACGAAAATTGAGCCCTTGAGGACGCGACTGGACCGATTTTTTGACGCCGATCGAAAAATTGTCTTGGGGGACGTGGCTGGAGATGCTCTTAGTTGGTCTAGCCCAAGTCTCGCTCGTTCGCTACTTTTTTTCCCGCTTGTCCGCTCGTGACTCGGGTTCGTACTTTTTTTTAGCGGGGGTTCGTACGTTTCAATCACATATGTTTCATTTCCCCCAAGAATTTTTTGCTGATTTCTCTTTTTGTTGATGATGAGTTTGAAAGAATAAACAAATTTGGTATTCTGTCTTATACCAAGGAAAATGCCATTGGAAACAGAAATAAAAATAGTTTTGAAGACATTTTCATATTTTGATGAAAAAGTTATGAACATTTTATAAAAATTATGAACATTTTTTTGTATTTGATGAAAAAAATTGAATTCGATGAATATTTTTTGAACTTAATGAACAAATTTTGTATTCAAAAACATTTCTTTTGAAAAATGAGTGAACAAATTTTGAGTTCAATGAACATAACTTGTAATCGATGAACAAATTTCGAATTTGATGAACATTTTTTGAATTTGATAAGGAAAAAAATATTGGTGAATTTAAAAAGAGAATTCTTAAAAAAATGAAAATTTTAAAAGAAAAAAGTGAAAATAAAAGGAAAACATAAAAGAAAAATAATAAACGGAAAAAAGAAAAAGACAAAAAACGAAAGGAAAATGGGCCGGCCCATACGAACGCCCAGCGCGCCGTATAGGAATCCCCTCCGGTCAAGGCCACCGCGGCGGTAACCGGGTCCTGAGAACATCGGCGCCGCGGCGCGAGAGAGCGAATCAAAGCTGAGAAAAATCCGGCCAACCGGCGGGGCATGGACGCTGCCGTGGGCGGAAGCAGAGGGAGACATGGCAGAATCGGCGCCTCGGCTCACAACTTGCCAGGCTTTCATCTTTGCCCGCACATGCGAGAGTTCGTCGCTGGTCCGACTACATTTTTCTGTTGGCAATTTGGAGAGCATCCACACTCACATCGGTTTCATTCTCACTGGTCAGTTACGATTCCATGAGCTTCCTTCCTTCCTTCACACACGCAGCATCGCCGACAAGGATCAGCGGTTTATTTATTTATTCAGAATCTCATACTACAGAGACATCTCCCCGGCTATAGCTACTACTAGTACAGTACAATGCTAAGTAGAGTAGAGAACAAAGTAACACATTGCGCTGTTCAATATAACCTCCTACCAATACAATCTTGCAACAATACGGCCTTTCGCCTCTGGCTTTAATCTCCCTCTGGACCATGAATATGTAATAAGCAAACTAACGAAGCCATAGATAGGCTCTTCCACAGCTGGCTGCGCGCCCGCTGTTTCATCGGAGCCTATTCATCATCATCATCAACAAACCAACGAAAGAACTCGGTCTGCACAACCCATTCCGCAGCCAACACCCGCCATCCATCCCACATATGAACTAGGGACTATGTACATGGAAAATTGCGCTTCATGCCGCGGTGCTGTTATCTTCTACCTCGCCGCCGCACTTCCAAACTACATCCTTGAGCTGGGTCGAGAGAGATCTGTAGAACTGTTTCACAGTAAAATAAACTCTTGTTACTTGCTTGTGAAAGCAATGCTTTGACAGTAGTTAAATTCGCAGAGAATTTGAATGGCAAAGGGGGGATGCTATGGTGGTACCATTTGAAATTCCAGAGTATCCCCCTTCGCCTTTTTCAGCTCAACCACATGTAGGGATGGAGCTACTTGAAACACCTGAAGGTTGCCACATAAAAACATATATGAATGGGTAATCCTTCTTTAGTGTTCAAAGTAGTTTGTTTGTTTGCGTGGTGTTTTCACTTACCTCGGTTGCAACATTGAGATTGCCTTTTCTACCTGCTTTCGGGTTCTCCATCCGCATCTGGAAATAACAAAATCAAAACTAGTTCAATTTCCTGCCAACTCCGAATATGTGCTAACATGTATACAAAAATTTAGTTGTAACAGAAGATGTGTGCACATATAGACAATAATAATATGAATACCTTGTAGTTTTTCTTCTGAATGTCAAATCCAAGTGGCCTTGCAGCTTCCGCAATCTTGCTGATGATTTCTTTTGGAGGGCATTGCGACGTGAATCGTGTCTCTCTTTTATGCTCCTGCGACATAATTCATACAGATAAGTACATTGCAATGATATGTAGTTTCTAAAGAAAATCATAGGCAACAAACAGGCAATAGACTATGGGAAACCACACATAATAAGACATATAATGGATGTCTGCAGCAGAAATATTTCAGAATTTTCAGTTCTGACCTCCTTTGCCTCGAACAAATTGTCCAGATTCAATCCCTGATTCAGTGAAATCAGTTCAAATGCATTCATTGAGGTTGGCTTATGTTCAGTCTCCTCTTTCACATGCTGGTCCTGGTAAATTATTAAGACATGCATATAGTTAATCAACTTATTCCAACCACAAATGTAAGTATTTTAACTATATAGGTCAACTACCTCACCTCTGAGTCTCCAAATGCAGCATAGACATCTTCGAAGCTAGTTTCATACTTGTCGTCAAAAACAGGTGGCTTGAATCCCTTTTTGAACCAAGGATCCTCCAGTATCTGAGGAATGGTGATACGCTGTTCAACATTCAACAACAAAAACAGGACGGATGAGTTGGGATTCTATAACTTTTTTCCAGTACTGAGATTCAAATCAAGGACTACTGGTGTTTCTTTAATAGTGCTGCTCTCAAGTCTGACTCTATTGAAAGGATTATTTTGAGTGATTTCAACAACCATATTCAAAAGTTGTATGCCACTTACAGTTGCAGGATTAGGGTCCAAAATTCTGGTAATCAACTTCTTAGCTCCAGTAGAAAACCAAGAGGGGCATGTGAATTGAGCTTCTGAGATCTGTTATTCCAGAAGAGAGTAAAAAGGAAATAATCAGTAACAATATCATCTAAGATATTCCCTGAGAAAAGAAGCCTCTACGATGTTTTTTGCATTTTTACATCTTTTGAACTGTATTGGTATTACCTTTTTATAAAGGGCGATGATGTTTTCATCCTCGAAAGGTAAAAACCCGGCAAGGAGAATAAAAAGGATTACCCCGCAAGACCAGATATCTGCAGCTGCACCATCATAACCTCTATCCTCAATCACCTACATAGAAATCTAAGTTAGACAATAGTTCTAGTGGATTGGACACATGATCTTAAGATGATAAGCCAAAAAATTTTTTACCTCAGGAGCAACATAGTTCGGAGTTCCGCATGTTGTGTGCAGCAACCCGTCAGCCTGTAGAGTCGAAGAATTTCAATAACAGTGAGAATCAACACAAGGCAATGATGTGGCCAGTTGGAAATTTACCCAAAGTATGAGTATTTTTTCGAAAAGGGGTAGTAAGAATACCTTCACTTGCTCAGTTAAAGCACTTAAACCGAAGTCGGACACTTTGAGGTTTCCAGCAGCATCAAGCAACAAATTTTCTAACTGCGAATGCAAGTTTAACATCATTTTGTCACTTTACCGTACTTGTATGCGTATAGTTAATCATAGAAGAACACATGACCCGGAAGATAAAAAAATTTACCTTCAAATCTCTGTGATACACACCCCTACTGTGGCAATAGTCAACGGCGTTTATCAGCTGTTGAAAGTATTTGCGTGCTTCCTCTTCTTTCAGCCTTCCATTGGTATACTGTGTATAACAGCAAATAAAAGAGATTAAAAAGCTGATCATTTAACATGAATGAAAATCTAACCGACAATACAACCTCAGCAATTGCAGAAAGATGGATGACATATTGGCACTTACAATGGTATCAAAGAGTTCCCCTCCAGTAATGTATTCCAGAACAATGAAAATTCTTGCTTTACTTCCCATCACCTGAGGTAAAAAGCAAATATTAGCAAAAAGGTACTAAGACTGCAGCCATGGATAAACACAAATCTATTGAAGTATGGCGATAAATCCTGAATCGCGATTGATTTTTGGACTTTACCTCGTGCAGTCGAACAACATTAGGATGCTTTATTAACTTCATAGTACAAATTTCGCGCCTAATCTGCATTGAGTTGAGGATAGTATTAGGATACAGATATGAAATATCACTATATGAGCACATGTATGAAACAATATGTTTCTGTCTTGTCAATGTTTTTTTTTCTTTTCTAGCTAACAGAAGTCCCTGTTTGGGAACTGTATGGCTAGAACTTCGAACTTGGAAGAACACCGAAGTAGTGAAGGCAATTAAATAGAACTCAAGACATGGACACCCAAAAGTGCAACAGGGGACACATATGCTGAAGTACAGGAACTGAGGGCATTGAATTTCGTGTTCAATTTTGCACAAAGTTCAGACATCGATTGGAAACTGCACAAGATACTAGGAAAACATACTGAGTTTGTGATATGACTTCAATGGGAAGATCACCATGTGGGTAAGACCGCTATGTAATGCAAATATGTAGATACATAATCATTATTAACTGAAGTCACATCTTCCTATGCCACCATGCTAACACGGCAACATCCAGTGAAGCTATAAATGGTTTCTCCAGTTAGCTCCTTGATATAAAGATGTAGGTTACAATAATGAAATTTATTAACTAGATAAAACCACAGATGGCAACTGTGCATCTGTCATGAAAGTTGATATGATATGGTTGACTGAACTTTAAAATTTTACCACGTGCATCTTATGATCTGATCTATGATATGATATGTTCAGATAAAAGGAATATGAAGAAACTAGACAAAGTCATATGAGGGAATTGTGTGATAATGACCTGTTCAACCAATCTGAGCTTCTGAACCTTCTCCTTGTCGAGGATTTTGATAGCAACAGGCTCCATGGTTTCAGTGTTCTTTGCAAACCTGACCTTTGCAAAGGTCCCTTCCCCGATGGTGCGGCCGAGCTCATACTTGCCGACACGGCGCTTCACCTTTGGTGACAATGCAGCTCTCTTGGCGCGATACATCTTCCGACAACCGAAGGTTACTGTCAACCTTCAAAATGCTCTTGGACAATCTGCAGTCGCTCAATGAAATCAGGCTTTGGACACTGTGAACTTGATATGAATTTGGTTATTCAGATGACGTAAAACATCTTCTTGTTTCATGTTGTACCATGAGGCAGCCTTTACCATCTTTCCCAAAAAGGATAAAAGGAAGAACAGTAGAAGTATTGTAGATCCTAAAGATCTCAGGAACACTAAACAACACCTGATCATCAAAAATATAAAATGACCAGCCTGGTCCAAAACACTCAACCCACTTTGACTTTACTAGTATATAAAAGGTGGCAAAGACATATCTACAACAACAAAAAAAGGTGGCGAAGACCATGAGATGCATCATCCCAAAGTAAACACATGTGCCTGCCGCCGAAAGGCGAAAAAATCATGAAAAGTACATGGCAGGTACTACATACATGGAGGCCACATAGACATAGCATAGGAAGAATCTAGTTGGTAACCTATGATCCTACCCGACAGTCACCTAGGATGACAAAACATTTCCAGAAAGCAGTTTACAGATGTGTACTGGTTACTGCTGCTTTTGGGAGTAAGGTAGATAAGAGAATCCTCGCTTAAAACAGTGTGTGTACTACTCAAATGAACAGAGCAAAGAGAAATGAGTCGTAGTAAAATCTTTGACAGGGCATGAAACCAATGAGCTAGCAAATGCGCATGAAGCGCAGCGCATGCATAATCTCAACACCTATTCCAGATCAGAGCTGTACCTCCTCGAGTAGCACAAGAAATGCAAAATTCGCACACGCACAGTAGGGAACAGATAGATTTAGGGGTAGGCGCTTGCGGCTTGCGGCTTACCTTCAACTCGACGAGCTAGCAGACAGCGCGGGGCTGGAGCTTGGCAGCAGATGCGGCTAGCCAGCGAGGGTGGGTCTGAGGAGGAAGAGGAAGCTGTTGCTGTGGGTGCAGAGGAGGAAGAGGGAGGTGTCGTGCTAAATAAGGAGGGAGGGAGGGAGGGGGAGGTGGGGGGTGACACGTACGTGCTCGCACAGCTAGTTACGCAGGAGAGGAGGAGCACCACCACGAGAAAAGGACATGGGGGGTCGATCGGGATGGACGCGAGCAGAGCAGCCGCTGCTGGCGTACGTAAGTTTGATTGCCGACGCTGCCTTGCCACCCTTTCAGTTCCCAAGGGCTGCATGGCCTATCCTTTTCGTCCCCTTCCTTCTACTGCTGCTTTTCGATTCTACTAGGGGAATACTAGTGGTATTTTCTACTTACTCCAGGAAGAAGAACATCGTGTGCACCAGAGATCAGACCAGGGAGTATGTAGATAAGCTGATGCTCTTATCAGAGCCATGCAGCGGAACTCTACCAAAACAACTTTTTTTTTCTTCGAAACGGGGGCAAACGATTTGCCTCGTCCATTAATTAAGAAGGAATAGAGTTTGTCCATATTATAACCGAGACACGTAAAACATGCCACATGGCAATTACTCGTGCATTAAAATTTCTCCTAGTTTCCTTGCCTCCATTGTGCGTCAAAGGTGGGCATCTGCTAGAATGGAGCTGAGCAGAACTGTAGGTGGCGCGCCCTTGTGGCGGAAGACCCTAGAGGTTCTTTCATTCCAGACAGTCCAACAAACAAGCATGGTTAGCCAAGCCATGGCCTTTCGGTTGGGAGTGCTCGTGCCGGTCCTATTGGCCCACCACTCAATGACGGAGTCTTCCGTGAGCCAAGTAGAAGTATCCATGTTGGCAAGACCAAGCTTGTAGATGATCAAGTTCCAGAGCCTAACAGTGAAGCGACATCTGAAGAATAGGTGTGCCCCATTGAAAGGATTGAGAAGAGGTGTCTAGAGGGGGGGGGGGTGAATAGACTCTAAGTAAGAAAAGTTACAGTTTTTAACTTCTTTAGGTTTAAGTAGAGTTTTGGCACAAGTTTAAACATTCACAATACATATCAAGCAAGCATGACAAGAGTATATGAGCAGCGGAACATAAAACATGCAAGTTGCAAGAATGTAAAGGGATGGGATCGGAGTGTGCAAACGCAATTGGAGACACGGAGATTTTTGGCGTGGTTCCGATAGGTGGTGCTATCGTACATCCACGTTGATAGAGACTTCAACCCACGAAGGGTAACGGTTGCGCGAGTCCACGGAGGGCTCCACCCATGAAGGGTCCACGAAGAAGCAACCTTGTCTATCCCACCATGGTCGTCGCCCACGAAGGACTTGCCTCACTCGGGTAGATCTTCACGAAGTAGGCGATCTCCTTGCCCTTACAAACTCCTTGGTTCAACTCCATAATCTTGACGGAGGCTCCCAAGTGACACCTAACCAATCTAGGAGACACCACTCTTCAAGAGGTAACAAATGGTGTGTTGATGATGAACTCCTTACTCTTGTGCTTCAAATGATAGTCTTCCAAACACTCAACTCTCTCTCACAGGATTTGGATTTGGTGGAAAGATGATTTGAGGGGAAAGCAACTTGGGGAAGGCTAGAGATCAAGATTTATGTGGTTGGAGTGGAATATCTTGACCTCAACACAAGTGTAGGTGGTTCTCTCTCAGAAAATGTATGTTGGAAGTGTAGGCATGTTCTGATGGCTCTCTCCAAGAATGAAGAGTGGTTGGAGGGGTATAAATAGCCTCCACACAAAATCTAACTATTACACACAAATCACCAAACTCGATGGGACCGAATCATGAAACTCGGTCAGACCGATTTAATTCAAAATGTGACTGTTAGGGTTTTCGGTGGGACTGATATAATCGACTCGGTGGGACCGATGTGCTAGGGTTAGGGTAAAGCCTCATCTTGGTTTGACCGATTACACAAACTCGGTGGGACCGATTTGGGTAATAAGCAAAACATAGAGTTGGCAAAGCAAACTCGGTGGGACCGATTGCATGTCTCGGTGGGACCAAAATTATTACAATAGGCAACAAAGAGTTTGCAAGCCCATCTCGGTGAGACCGAGATCCCATTGGTGAGACCGAATTGATTAGGTTTTCTGGCAGTGGCTTTGTCAACTGAACTCGGTGGCGCCGGATAGAAAGTTTCGATGGGGCCGAGTTTGACTTTTGGTTTGGGACATATGTGGATATGAGAAAGTGGTTGAGGGCTTTGGAGCATATCACTAAGCACTTTGAGCAAGCAAGCCATTAGGCAACACCTCATCTCCTCTTAATAGTATTGGCTTTCCTATGGACTCAATGTGATCTTGGATCACTAAAATAAAATGTAGAGTCCTGAGCTTTGAGCTTGAGCCAATCCTTTGTCCTCAGCATCTTGAAGGGGTTCCACATCCTCTAGTCCATGCCACTCCATTGTTGAACTTATCTGAAACATACTAGGTAGAAGTATTAGTCCAACAAGATATATGTTGACATTAATTACCAAAATCACCTAGGGAGCACTTGTGCTTTCAATCTCCCCTTTTTTGGTAAATGATGACAACATACATCAAAGCTTTAGATAAAGATATAGAGAATAACAAGTAAAGCTTTGGAAAGACATGTAACAAGCATAGGCCCCCCCTACATGTATGCAATCATGTAAATATGGAATATAGGAGCATGTGAATGTATAAGCATGACAGAGTAAGAAATGTGTTATATGTATCTTGGCTATATGCATCAGAGCAAATGATGTGAATATAGGAAATGTACCTTCATGCTCATGAGTCCTTCTTGCAAACAGTATGTACATCAGCAAGAAATCCTCATACACATGGTTGTGATGCATACACTTACCTTGTGGTCTTGAGTTGGCTTATGAAGGAATGAACCTGAGTAAACAAGGTTAGATAACACAGATACACCTACTAGCCAGAGCGAACAAAAGAAACCACAAGAGTACCAAGACTGGGATGACATGTAGGGAGTGAGTACTGAGTACCCTATTGGTTATAGACATGTCCCCAAAGGTAAAAATGTGCAATGAATTCAAGGATTTCCTTCCCTTAGATGTCTTGCTCCCCCTGAATCTTGCATGGGATATTGGGAGAAGATAGGGAACAGAAAATCAGAGCAAAGAAAAGAAACAGAGCTAATGCAAACAATCAACTTTGAATATGTCTTTCCCCTCTTAAAGACATGTAACTTCTCTCCTCTTGAACACCAAGCATCTGGGGTTGCTTACACTCTCCCCCTGAGTATGATCTCCCCCTATAGAAATGATTAAGCTTAAGCTTTGATGTGATCTCTCTCTTAAGCTTTGATGTGGTCTCTCTCTCCCCCTTTGACATCAATTTCCAAGAAGGGGCTCTTCTGGATTTTGTTACAGATGGGTTTGGTCCTTGAGTCACAAAGCAAAGTAGCAAGTCGAATGTGATGCTGGTAGAGGACAAGAATCATTGAGTGGAGCTGGAGCAAAAAGAATGTAGGAACAAGTGGCAAGCTGTCTTTCCTGCAGTGAAGTCGGTAGCACCGAGTTGTGTGTTTCGGTGGCGCCGAAAGGATTTGATTGGACCGAAGGAAACAAGCCGGTGTGACCGAGTTCATCACAGTGAAAACACTTGTCACCTCAGCTCACTAGGCAGATAAAATCTCACAAGGATTTGCAAGGAATTTGCTGAAAGATTTGCAATGAATTGGATGCAGGGAATGCAGAACACAAATAAACAGAAAGGAAATCTAGATGAAGTTTATGAAGATCTTTTGGACCTGCAATTTATCATCAAGGAAGAACACCCACGTAAATCTTGAAAAATCATTGACTATGACTAGACCAAATGAGTGACCACCGAGACTCTTGTAGGCATTGGGACCAAAGAGATCCATGTGAAGTAGCGAGAGTGGTCTTCTCGTGGTCATGATGTTCTTCACGGGGTGACTCCCTCCAACTTGTTTTCCTGCTTGACAAGCACTACAAATTCTATCCTTGTCAAATATAACATCTTTTACTCCAAGGATATGATCACCTTTAATAAGCTTATCAAGATTTCGCATGCCCACATGACCTAGCCTTCTATGCCACAACCAGCCTTTAGAA